TTCGCAGGATGAGCGGTTTAGTCGCGACACGCGCGTCGACTCCCGTCAGGGTGTCGCCTCGCGTGCCGCGTCCACGGGGAACCACGGGGAGGCCCGCTCATTTGTGTCCCGAGCCCGGACATACGCTCTGACCCTTGAATGGGATAGGTCGGGGGAGGAATATATGACACGGTAGGTGGGTTTTAGCGGACATGGTTGTAGAGTAGAATTGTAAAGTGGGTAAAGATTCTAGAATAGAGTAGAGAAAAGCGAAAGAAAAGAGAGTAGAAAGAAACGAAAGTGAAATTGGAAGCCTAACGTAGACCCTTTAACCAAAAGGGAATCCCCTACAGAATGCCGCAAACATGAAATAGGCCTCTAGAATTGCCACGAAGAAATGTGTCGTCTCCGGCCATTTCCAATTTTCGGCTGGAACAAGTTGCCGCAGAGTTTTACTCTGCGGCTCGAAGTCCGGTCATTCCATCAGGTGACGCACCGCTGTACCTTCGGCGTCACCCTGTCCCGGACGTTGTTTGGAAGGTGCTTGTTATACAGCCTTTGCTCGAAGAAGACCATCGAACTTGCACGTTTAGCGCCTCTTCCCTATAGAGACCATTGGTCTCTGATGCTCCCGATGAACGGGATTATGGTGTTCCCTATTCTGGCATTCATTTCTTCTCTTCTTTTCTTTCCTAGCTGTATATCACGCCTTTGTTCGTTAAGAAGGATATCAACTGGGACCGCACCTGCAGCTGCACAAAGCGACTCCGTCGACGCCGTGCGATATGCATCAATCGCCAACATGAGCACCGGCGCTGCAGGGTCCGGAGATCCTTCAGGCCGCCCCTCTCCGCATCGGTCGATCCATCCGGCGGTGGCGTATGCCAACCGTCGGAGTGAACACACCCCGATAGATCGTCGAGAGCGCGCTAAAGCGCAGCCCCCATCGACATCCCGCAGTCCTAGCTAAATTGCGGCCCGACCTTACCGCGCATGTATTTACAATGGGAGGATACTCCCGTTTCTTTGTCAACTGAATGCCCAGATGCCTAACTTTCTATCTAATAGAGTTTTCTTCGGCCCTGATCGGCTGGTCGGTGGTCACGCGCCGCAAGATTGGATTTCTCAACTCTAGCTGCCTTTCGTTTTAAGCGTGCTTCTCCCTTTATGCCTATCAGGCTCTCCCGATTAATGTACTCTTGAGGACAACCGCCTCAGTCTTAAGCAAAGAGATCTGAAGTTTTTGCCCTTTCGCACCTTTTGTTGACAAAGTCAACAGTGCGCTGCCCTCGCTCTTCAATTTCGCAACGGGAGTCGCCTTCGACTGTGACCAGCAGATCGTCGGCATGCGCGATGGATGACCTGCCTATCTCTTTGTCAAGTTCACGGAGGAGGCCGTCGAACATGACTGTCCAGCAAGCTGGGTCTAAAACTGAGCCTTGAGAGCAGATTCTCTCTACCTCTTTGGAGACGCAGATGCCTCCGAAAGAGATCCTAACTTTTCTGTGGCTGCTCCTCGTCACCCGAAGATTTTGCGGAGGCAGTCCCGCACCTTTCTAATCTTTCTAATTCAATGCGGGCAGTATGAAGACTGCTACCAAGTCTGGGATACCGCAGAGGGGTCGACAGGTCCTCTGAGGGAGCGCTTTAGACTGTGATTTTTATCATCTCCACAGCCATTCAGTCCTAGGCGCGCTTCCTTCGCCGTAGCTTGAGATCTCGTTCGACCGCGGGTCAACCGTAGTCTTCCCGGGGGGTCGCTAGCGACTGTGCATGTTTACCGTCCCCATAGTCATTCAGCCTTCGGCGCGACCCGAACGTTAGCCTTGGGACTTGTTCAACTTCACGAGTGTAGGTATATACCCGGTCCCAGCGTTGTACCTAGAGCAGTCTACAACGCTGTTTGCCTGTTCGATTTTGGTATTTTCCTTGTCTCGATGATTCGTCTTTCCCAGTCGCTACCCCTGTTGGTTCGGTTTCCCAGGCCGAGACAATCAGGTTCGTTGCATCGCAATGGGAAGACTTGGATTTAGCATCGCGACTCCCGTTTCAACAGAGCGTGTGTCTACCTTCATCTACCCGGGCAGTGTCTTTATTAACGATTTCCTTGTTGGCTTAAAGAGGGCTCTCGCATAAGTCCCATGGATGTCCCGGTACACCTGGCAGAGTCCGTAACGTGACTTGGGGCGCCCGGACAATGCCCAGGTCGCCCCGTTCCATGTCACGCATGGCAATAGCGGTCCGCAGAACGCCAGCCGAAACCGATCGTCCCCAGATTCGCTTCTCTGCTTGAACACTCTTCGCTGTCCTAGTTTTCTGCGTTGGGCGTCAGTTCCATCACTCGTGCAAGTACCGCACATATACCAGAGTCCATAACGTGACTCGGGGCCCCAGGACAATGCCCAGGTCGCCCCGTTCCATGTCACGCATGGCAATAGCGGTCCGTAGGACACCAGCCGAAACCGGTCATCCCCATATTCGCTTCTTTGCTTTGGTGAGTTCTTTGGCGTCCACAGCATCATTTGCTATTTTGAACGCTTGACTGCTCGTCGTGTCATGGGGCATTTTACTTTACTTTCTCAATCTGAGAGCCCCTGCCATGTGGGATTTTCGTCTTTTTGGACTTCGTTCGATGCACACGTGCTGTACACTTGGAGATCTCAGCTCTTATCTCCATTTGGTGTGGTGTACTTGGTTCCAATCAATGCACGTGTGCTTTGCCCTAAGACGTCAGTGTTTACACGCTCCGTCGTTTATTGCCATGCTTTTTGCTGAATACTTCGAGGTCAGACGTATCATTTCCCACTTAGTTATTCAGCCCGAATGTAGACTTTCGCTTGCCGTGGAGACCATCATTCGTGTGATGACTCCTTGCAAGCTCGTTCGAATATTTTTGAGTAGCATGCCTTTGATTCAGAGTCAGAATTTATATTCTAAGTCCAATTGCGGCGTGTTGCTTTTCATTTCTAACGAGGCTCTTTGATAGGAATGTATTGCTCATGTATATTAGCTATATTTGATATTATGTACAAATTATGTACAAATTTACATACGAATTTCGTATGATATGGAAGGCAGGTACCGTTAAGTACCTGAATGAGAAACGTCACTGTGGAACGTTAATCCCATGGCGCTCGAGTTAGGTCGCGGGTTACCCCTCCGCTTCCTTGGCTCTTGCGCCCTTCAATTGTCTCTTACGCACATACGGAGGCTGGCTGCGGCTTCCCGAGAAAGGTGTGGGTAACTGCCCCTTCGTTAGGGTTCACCATATCTCTTCGAGCCTACGACTTTAATTCCCTCCTCCATATGTACGCATGCCTAGAGAGACAACTGGTAGGGTGTCCGGCTCCGGTGTCAGGCAAGCTCTTGCAGACCAGACCCCGCCTTCCTGTCTTTCTTCCTTGGATGCTATATAGCTTAGTTTTGCTTAGATTTGCGGTTTCCTTATAACATCTTCATTGTGAAGTGTTTGAGCAATTCCATTTGAGCCATCATATTTAAGTCTTTGTTTCGCCATGCTTTACAATTTGAGCCACTATTTTGCAACTTGTGCCATTGGTCGTTCGATTGTTCGAAGTTTACTCTTCCCCTGGATGAGAATGATGGGTATAAATCTAGTTTATCCCTTTTGCGTCACCGATCAGATGACGAGGCATTTGGTACCTGTGTGTTCTGGCACCTCTTCGCTTGTATACCACCGTTTCGTGCACTTCCCGACGCTAGTTCAACATTGCGACCAGCCACGTCGGGAAATCGTATTTCGTGTATCTCACGATACTTTGTCATGGATTTTATGTGCATTGCAAGTGACGGGCGAGGCATTGCCTCTTTCCTCGATCACTTGACTCGACTCGTGAAATAGATTCGGAACGCGCACCGCACCCCGACGGCTGCCAAATCCAGCGCGATCGGTTTTGCTGAGTGCGACCAACACCCTGAGGTGCTCGCCACATAGGAGCCAATTCGTCTGACGACACAAACTCGTGGCAATACTGTGATGAAATAAGGCGGGTGCAGTCTGCGGACTCTCCCCCAACTACCCTAGTAGAAGGGGAGACAGTCGGTGATCCACCCGTCCCCCTTACGGTTGTAGATGATTCCCCTCATACCCCCTAGAGGAAGGAGTGGTCCAGGCAGAGACTCCCGAAAGACAATTATCCTCGTGTGCCTCCGCACACGAGGAGGCACAAGAAGTCATAGCCACCAAGGCCGTAGCCCTCTCTAGGGAGATTGAGGCCCAGCCGCAAGGGGTCTCCTAAGAGGGGGTAAAGGTAGACAGCCCGGAGGAGGCGTGTAAGGCCTAGCTTTCACGCCACTCCGCGTGCTACCTCGGCCGCGGCGCTCGGGCCCGGACATGTGGATACACAGGATCCGGGAACTGGGCGCCGGGCTGGGGGTGGCCACCGAGCCGGACTAGGTGCCGATCAGCAGTGAATGCTGGTTCTACAGCCCGGACGGCTCGGTGGCCATGGTGGCTGACTCTGCAGCGGGGACCCCTCCCTGTGTTTTAAGGGGAAAGGGGTCTTCGTACGTGGCGGTCGATTGGGGGCCCATAACTGTGGTGGGGGAATATCTCCCCCACCACAGAAACAAAGACGGACTTGGCAACCCCGCCCACATTAAAGGGATCCTAGACAGGATCTGGGATTTGGTGCTCAAGTGCCATCCCCAACCTGTCGTGATTGCCGGGGACTTTAACGCCCACTCTGAGGAGTGGGGTTGTAGTCCCCGGCAACGGGATCCCAGGGGCGAGGTCGTCATCGGCTGGGCGGCGGGATTTGGCTCTCTGTTGTTAAACAGAGGGTCCACCGGCACCTGTATAAGGCTGGAGGGGGGTTATCGGTCATTGATTTGACATGGGCCTCCCTCTCGGCCGCTAGGATGATCTCCGATTGGAGGGTGGAGGTGGAGGGCGAGACATTATCTGACCATAGATATATAGTCGGGGCCCTCCACCTCCCCAAACCAAAACAGGTGTCGGCTCGCCGCCCTGGGGAGAGGAACTTTCCTCTCCACAAAAGATGGGCCCTCGGTCGACTAGACGTGGACAGGTTCAGGGCTGCTGTCCTTGTGGTCACTTGGCACATAGAGCCAAGTGAGTGGGACCCCGGCCCCTTGGAGGGGGCCGGGAAGATGACGGGGATAGTGGCGTCGGCATGCGACGCCGCGATGCCCCGTTCCCACCCCCGTCGGCGCCGGGCAGCGTATTGGGGGTCGGAGGAAATAGTAAGACTTCGCAGTGACTCCGACCGCGCCAGAAGGACATATACGTGTGCCCGGCGACGAGAAGGGGATGCCACAAGGGCAAAAGAGGACTACCTTGCCGCCAGGGTAGTCCTCAAGAAAGCCATCAAAAAGGCCAAACGGGAAGCCTGGGAGCAATTGGTGAGCTCCCTGGATGACGATCCGTGGAAGCGCCCATACAAAAGGACGATGGTGAAGATTCGTCCTTGGGCGCTCTCGCAAACGGAGACGTTGGACCCCCATGCCCTCGATGGGCTCCTGGACACTCTCTTTCCGAGGGCGGAAGGGGGCCCTCCCGTGATCCCTTCCCCAGAGATGGGGGAGGGAGACTGGGACGAGGATCTGGAGGTCACTCCAGAGGAGCTCGCCAAGGCCCGGAGAAAGCTCGGTGGCAAGGGCAAAACCCCTGGCCCCGATGCGATTCCGGACCGCGCCTGGGCTCTCGCGTTGGCCGAAGGGGACCTGTCCACAGCCACATGCAGGATCATGATAGGATGCCTCAGGGGGGTTTCTCCCCAGAGTGGAGGAGAGCCAAATTGGCCCTCCTCCCGAAGGAGGGCAAGGAGTCCGGTAGTGCGTCAGCCTACAGGTCGGTCTGCCTGCTGGACGAGGCGGGCAAGATGCTGCAGCCCATCATCTCTGACCGTCTCGTCCAGCACATGTCCTCGAGTGGGCTGGACCTCCACGACCGCCAATACGGGTTGAGGCCCGGACGATCCATGCTGGATGCCATCCAGTGGGTCCGGGACCTGACCCTGGCGGTCGTGGAGATAAGGGGCGGGGTGATGTCCGCCTAGTTCGGGGACAGAGACCTCGCCTTCACGAAAGAAGGCAGGGTTCAAGGCTGGCACACTATGGAGCGAGGTGTCCCGCAGGGGTCGGTGCTCCGCCCCCTGCTGTGGGATATCGGCTTCGACTGGGTTCTTCGCACTCCGCTCCCCGACGGCTGCCACGTCGTCTGCTACGCAGACGACCCGTTAGTGATGGCCGAAAGGGAGAACTGGGGGGAAGCCCACTTCCGTGCGGAGGTGACAGTGGCATCGGTAGTGGAAGCCATCCAAGACCTGGGTCTCAAGGTGGCGCCCCAGAACACTCAGGCTTTCTTTCACGGCTGGGGTCGGGGGGGCGCCGCCGGAGACCCGGGTCGTAGTCGGTGGCGTCCACGTCCGCGTCGGGCCGACGATGAAATATCTCGACCTGACGTTGGACAACCGATGGTCATTTGGGCCTCACTTTAGGCAGCTGGCTCCCAGGGTGCGCAAAACTGGACTGGCTGTAGCCAGGCTGATACGCGCCCAAAGGGGCCCAAGATGGCAGGCTCGCCGCCTGTATGTCGGTGCGGTTCTCTCGATTGCCCTGTACGGGGCGCCCATCTGGGCGTACCAGCTGCTGGCCAGACGGCTTATGAGGCAGGCCCTCAGGCCTCTCATGATCAGGGCGATTCGAGGGTACCGTACAGTGTCATACATGGCGGCGACCACCCTGGACGACTCCCCCCTGTGGAGCTCCTAGCCGAGGAGAGGCGAGTCCTCTGTTAGCGGGTAAAGGAGCTCCGCAAGGGGAGAGAGCTGACGGCCAGGGGCCTGAAGGCCCTTATGACCCAGGCCAGAGACCGGACCCTGGAGCGGTGGGAAGGCGCGCTAGCCTACCCCCGAGGGTTCGGTCTCGCAACGGCCGAGGCTGTCCGCCCCTGTTTGTCCGAAGTGGCAGACAGCAGGGGGCGTGGAATGTCCTTCCACCTGGTGCAGATATTGACCGGGCATGGTTACTTCGGGAGGTACCTGCACTGGATAAGGAAGGAGCCCACCGCTCGGTGCCATCACTGCCCCGAGCAAGAGGACACGGCGCTGCATACCCTGGCTGCCTACGCAGCATGGGACGAGCACCGCCATGTCCTGCTCGGGGCGGTGGATTGCCGGGATGGGGAGCTCTCGCTCCCGCACCTAGTGCGAGCTATGTGCGGGAGCAAGAGGGTGTGGGACATGGCGGCCTCCTTCTGCAGGGAGGTAATCTCCTAGAAGGAGGCCGCCGAATGGAAGCGCCGGTCTGGCAAACGTCGTCGCGGAGGACGGCGTGGCCGGCACTCCCCGGGGGGGGGGGGGATCAACAGCGGGCTCGAAGTGGCATCGGACGAGGAGAGGCCGCTGGCCTACACGGGCCAGCGCCTCCCTCGGCCACCTCGGGCCAGGCTCCGTCACTCGAGGGGAAGCGAGGAGAACAGCTCCCACTCCCCCGAGTGATCGGGTAGGAGGAAAAAGGGGAGGTGGACAACCCGATTGGGGTCGAGCCTATCTCCTCAATTCCCCCCTCTCCCTGAACCTTTCAGGAGGGGGGGATAAGGAGGAAGGGTGGATGTCCCCTTCCTCCTAGAAGACACCAGAAGGCCAACCGGCGGGGTTACCCGCCGGGGTATGCGCCCCTCCCACTAATTTCCTGAAAGGGGAGCGGGGTGCGGTAAAAGAAGGCGAGGGGCTCTTAGTTTAGAGCCCTAGGGCCGGGGGGTTGGGGAGGGAATGCGGGAGCAGTTCCCCTAACTCCCCTCCTCATGGTCCGACAGGTAGACATCCCGCAAGGGTTTTAGTCGGTAAGAGTCCGACATAACCCCCGCCCCCCCAAGGGGGCGGGGGTATCCATGATGGATTTCCCCTGTGTGAACAAAAAAAGAGCCAGGAAAAAGCTGAGGGCCAAGGGCAAAGCCCCGGGCCTCGACGGCATTCCTGGCCGGGCCTGGGCTCTCGCCCTCGGCGAGGGGAACATGGCTGCAGCCATGAGAGGGGTGATCAACGGGTGCCTCAGGGAGGAGGTCTTCCACCCAGAGTGGAGGGAGGTCAAACTGGCCCTCCTCCCAAAGGCGAGCAAGACACCCGTTGGGCCGCCGGCTTACAGGCCGATCTGCCTGCTGGACGAGGCGGGCAAGTTGCTCGAACGCATAATTGCCGACCGCCTCGTCCAGCACCTGTCCTCAGAGGTGCCGGAGCTCCACGACAGGCAATACAGGTTCAGGCCCGGACGGTCGATGCTGGACGCGATACAGCACGTCCGGGACCTGACCCGCGCCGTCGTGGAGGGAGGGGGCGTTGTGTTGTTGGCGGTGTTACTGGACATAACGAACGCTTTCAACACCCTGTCCTGGCCGGAGATTGGGCGGGCTCTCGAGCACCATCGTGTGCCCGCCTATCTCCGGCGCATTCTGGCGGCGTACTTTGGGGACAGGGACCTCGCCTTCTCCAAGAAGAGCGGGGCCCAAGGCCGGCGGAGCATGGAACGCGATGTCCCGCAGGATATTGGGCCCTCTGCTATGGGACATCGCATTCGACAGGGTGTTGCGCACGCCCCTCCCCACTCGGCTGCCACGTAATCTGCGGATGACACACTAGTGGAGGCCGAGGAGAGGGACTGGGGGGAAGCCCGCCTCCAGGCGGAGGTGGCGCTGGCCTCGATGGTGGGAACCATCGAAGACCTGAAGGTGGCGCCCCAGAAAACGGAGGCTGTCTTTTTTCACAACGGTCGCCATGGGGCGCCACCAGAGACCTGGGTCTCGGTGGGCGGAGTCCGCGTCCAAGTCGGGCCCAAGATAAAATATCTGGGCCTGATTTTGAACAGCCGATGGGATTTCGGGGCCTACTTTAGACAGAGACCTGGCTCCCCGGGTGAGGAAATTGGGTCTGGCATTAGCCAGACTTATGCACGATCGAGGGGGGCCCGGGTTGGCACGCTCGCCGCCTGTATGTCGGAGTGGTTCTATCGATCGCCCTCTACGGAGCGTCTATATGGGCGCCCCGGCTGATGGCCACCGTTCAAGGCAGAAACCTAATGCCCCAGACGCTGAGGACGGCAGTCGTGAGGGCGATACAGGGGTTCCGCTCCATGTCGTACATGGCGGCGACGACCCTGGCCGGCACCCCCCTCCCCTGTGGTGGAGCTCCTAGCTAAAGAGCGTAGTGTTCTCTATTGGAGAATACGGGAGCTCCGCGAAGGAGGTGAGGCGACGACGGCCAGGGAGTTGGCGGTCCTGAAGTTCCAGGCGGTCGCCCGGACTCTTGAGCGATGGGCTGTCGCTATGTTAGACTCACGAGAGTTCGGGCGGCTGACGACGGAGACTGTCCGCCCCTGCCTGGCGGAGATGCTGGGCAGGAGGGGGCGCGGGCTAACATATCATCTGGTACAGGTGATGTCCGGGCATGGGTGCTTCGGGCATTACCTACACCGGATTAAGAAGGAACCTACCACCGGGTGCCACCACTGCCCGGCGCGGGACGATACCGTGCACCATACGCTGGCCGAATGCGAGGCATAGGGCCAGCAGCGCGGTGTCCTCGGGTAGTGGGCTGCGGGGAGCAGGAGCTCTCGCTCCCGCGCATGGTGAAAGCCATGTGTGGGAAGAGGCGGCCTCCTTCTGTCGCGACGTAATGTCACGGAAGAAGGCCGCCGAATGGAAGCGTCGTCCCGGAGACAGGCAGCGGCGGGGAGGGCGGCGCTCGCCAGCGGTGGGCAGCGGGGGCAGAGGTGGCGCCGGCCGAAGAAGAGAATAGGCCAACTCCTGCTCGCTGGAGGCCGCCTCCTCGGCCACCTCGAGCCTTCGGATTCGAATTAGAAGTCACGCGCCGCATGTGATCAAGCGTGTTATAATCTCGGAGGAACTCCCGGTACTCATGTTCCTGCTCAGGCTTTGATTTGAATCGTCGTGTGAGCGCATCAAGACACTTCACCGCGCGAATACGCGAAGAACCAATATCGAGCGGAGGATCCTCACGGAACGGCAGACGCACGACATAGCGACCCGTTGGAGTTCCGGAATGCGTTGCCAAAAAATGTGTTTCGCATCTCTCCTCGTCTGGAGAATGCCGAGTTCCGCGAAGCACCTCTTCTACTTCCCAAAATCGCCTAAGTGTCCATTCGAGCGACGCACTCGTTGAGCAGTGATGAGCAGCAACGGACGCGTGAGCCTCACGATCGGCGGGTGCACGCGCGGCGCTCGGCGTGCTCGACGGAAACGCGGCTTGTCCCGACATTACCCAACCAAAAATAGTATTTTGCGTTACGGGTTGGCCTGTGAGTCCCCGCCGCACTCCGTCGAGCAAAACATCACCGTACATATCCGCGCCGATGAGAAGGTCAATAGGATCCGAGCTCAGCGGAGTCGGATCCGCCCAAGGTAAATCGGTGAGATGATCTAGACATGAGGCATCGGCCTCATCGAGTGACGCGTAGGTTGTCAATGATTTTAGGACCAGCGCGGTAGTCCGTAATTGACGCGACGGATCAGTTCGAGACGAGACGACAATTTTGATTGCATGTCGGAACGGGCCGGCGTCGACGCCGCCGACTGCGGATACCGATATCAGCATGTGAATCCGTTCAGCGCGTAGTATCTGAGCGAGATTCTCCGAGACGAAGGTCATCTCCGAGCCTTACACTCTCCGAGATCTAACAAAGCGCGTACGATGACCGGCGTACTGTGCGGAGACTCAACCGTCACACGCGCGGTAGCCAAAAGAACGCGAGCGCGACGGGTGCCGTCCGCGGCCGCGAGCATAGAATGAATCTCATCGCGAGATTCTGGACGAGAGCTGATGTCATTAGGCTGCGCTTTTGAGGCAGTCTTTGAGTCGCCGGAATCGTAGTCAGAGTGGAGCATCGTGTGATGTCGCTTCGAACACGTGCGACATGTATATTTACTCGGGCATTCGCGTGCAGCATGCTTGTGGCTAAAGCAGTTGAAGTACCGATGGTGTTTATTTACGAGGTCTCGACACTGCCGCGGACTCCCGCGAACAAAGATCGAGCATGAACTAAA